CGGTTACTCTCAATCAGAGATGATTAGTGAAATACTATAGAACGATGATTACTTATCATTGAACGTGTCTTAAGAAGGGAGATTACCTATTTAAGATAATCAGAGGTGAGATTATCAAGTAGTGATTGGATATCATCTATCACTTGTAGGCACGTGTCTTAGTATTATGCATGTAGCCAGACTTCTTTAATATGTAAACCAATGATATTTGAGGGGGAGGGGAGATTAATTTATTGCATTGAAGCAAGGGATTACCTTATCAAGAGGAAGCATAAGTTTATTTGAACAATTTCTTCAACAATATTGCTTCAAATGCTAGGATGTGGTCCAGCGACTACCAGCTAGTCTTAAGTACACCACTGTCCAGCTCTAGAAAATTTAGACCTGATCATCTACAATACTATTTCAATACATCTGACCTCGATATTATTAGTTGTAACCTTAAGAATACGTAGGAGACATATTTGAAAATCAGAAGAATCAAAATAACTAGTATGAGTTATTGCCCTTGTTGATTTTAGCAATTTGACCTACATATCTGAAAATTTCGGTTTATCTGTCAGAATTTAATAGTTATATTTCACATTTACCAGTATAGAATAGTCTTAATACATCAAACATACACCAATCCTCTTCTGAATTTGTCAGTTTCCAATTTGAGCCGTTCACACGACCAAAGTAATCAGTGAATAAATAAATTCGTGACATGACATGAAACAGTTTATTCTACACTTGGATGATTTTACATTTGAAATAAACTTTTCAGTTTAATGTTCGTATTGTAATCATAGTGTCAGGTAGGTAATAAGAGAGAGCAAACAACTTATAGATATAACCTATGCATGATAATGATTTAATTGTTGTCTGTAGTATTTATTATATAACATATTCTACTTGGAATGAAGACATTCTATTAGTGCCATTTTTCATCATAAAATAAATACATATCTTTGAAAGTTCCTTTATTGAACAGTTAGCTGAATACATTGTTGTATGTTCTGAATAATATATGTAATAAACATATAATTATATAGTTAAAGATGAGTTTCCTTATTTTCTAGTGTCAACTTAAGCAAACTATTTAATTTCAGATTCTCTGACACCTTTTCGTCTGCCGTTCCAGGACCAAGTCTAGTCCATTTGGTAACATGGAGTGTCTATTGAGAAGTGGACTATGTGTCACAGATGCCTAATACCATGCGTGCAGTCCACTGCCCTCGACTAAGCGCACAGACCAATCGAGTATCCAGTTGGAGAAAGAGTGGCCAGACGCGTTTCCTGTGTCCATTTGGGGTACTCTTGTTTAGTATCATCGGCAATCATTCCTTTCACTTATTTGAAGTACACACAAGACATGTGAGACTCTCTATGATCTATGCTCGTGCAGTGATACAATTCGGTTTCTTGGACTTCTTGTAGACGTATCCAATGCAATACGGCTGCGTTTTAATGCCTTTATCCTCTGTTATCTACGTCAACCTCAAGGGTATATAGTGAACCTCGTTTACTCTCAATATAAAACGATCATTACCTATCCTTGCCCATGCTAGAATATCTCTTTCATTGTCGTCTGCTAAGTGATTAGGTGCCGTGGGTTTGAATCCTCCTCAAGGTAAAAACAATTCTGATGCCTGTGCCTGTGCTTCTTAGAGTCAGCTCTAACCCCCCTAATACATAGTTTCTAGAATAGCTCAGTCGGTAGCGAGTTGGATTATAGTCTGCTAGGTGATTAGGTGCATTGGGTTCGAAAGTAAGAATAATTTTGATGCCTGTGCCTTTGTTTCTTAGAGTCGGTTCTCACCCCCTTATGCCCAAGGTTATTGCCAAAAATAAAAAAGAGATAGGTCTATATCATGATAAACATGTTTTTTTTATTATTCGCAGATTTTTTCTGCTACGGTAAAAGTAAAATAGTAAGATCGTTTCATTTTATCTGGAATCTTGTCCAAGGTGGCGTTATATACATAACAGGAAAAACTCACATTATGCATTTCAGTGCCAATCGTTTTACATTCACTCATCTCGTTGCATTTTTCAATACATAGGTCTTCGTCATACGACACGAAGATGACTGGTGTTTCGTAAAGTTTACATTTTTTAAGATAAGTCATGGTAGAAGTGGAACATCTGATATCGTTAGCACAGTTTTCATCACATTCCGCTGAATCAGACACTAATCTTTCTGCGTAGGGATCGGGAAACAAAGATGTTGCATTTGTAAACTTGAATCGACAATCTGAAAAATGAAATGAATGGAATTTTACGTTCTACTTTTATAATTGGGCTAATGGAGACGGATAACGCCATGCAGTGTACAATGAGGGACATTTTTACCAGGACAGTGGCATTATCCTACTCTTGTTCGATTTCCAACTGTGTACAGCCTGAAGCACACGGGGCCTCAGTTTATTGTCCATTCTGAACGACTAGACGAGCGAGGAGAGATTGGTAAATTTCTTTTTTTAATTTGTACTTACTGCAATCGTCACCGAATGTGTTTAGTGGGCAGTTACATTTAAATTTTCCATTTTCTTCCACCAACGTTCCACCATTTTTACAATCCGGAATAATCACTAACAATGATACAAATGGCGATAAACTCAAAAACTATTTTAATGATGGCAAAAACATACACGGTGGTCTTAAAGTTGGGTTCCCTTATTTTCATTTATGAAAATGAAAATACTAATACTTATATGAATAGAAAGTAGAGGTGTTTTAATGACTTGGAAAAATACCAGTTTGTCTCACATGTCCATGATTAATTCATAATTAGCTAAAGAGAATTACTAACAGAATTCCAATGAGTGGCCGATCGAGAAAGGTCAAAAAGTATTTTTTTGTTTTTCCAGACTATCGTACATGGATACTTATGATTGGTTGAAACTTTTAATTATATGCAATAGGAACATAATGATATGATTAAGAATACATAATGATTCATTAGAAACACCAATTAATCTAATAGTTTGCTTAATTTGACACTAAAATATAAGGTAACCCATCTTTAACTATTTTGTACCTGATGAGTCATTGACTCAAAGGAATAAAGAATTGAATTGACATGAATTGAAATCAATCAAATTGGGTAGTCTGTCAATTATTTATTTTGATTGAAGAAATGAGCGCGCTACAATAATATTCTTTAATCTAAAGATGTTAAGCTCTCCAGACTGTTTCATGAAGTTTATTGATTTGAATTCCAACTATATAATGTATTATAACATGTATCGAGGAAGGTGATATAACTCTTCACTGAGCGATTTGATGTGTCAAAGCTAATATTGTT